GGGGAGACTGTTGGGGGCTGGTGGGTGGGGTGGGAAGCCGGTCTGTGGGAGCAGGCCTGGGAGGGGAAGGGTGGGATTGAGGAGACGCTGAGAGAAACGTCTGTAAGTGGAATGGTCTGGGGAGGAGGGAGGGGTGAAGGTGAAGTTACTGCGGGGAAGCAGCTGTCTGTGAAGTTGGGAAGGGATACGGGTCTGGTCAGCAGCTGTGTCGTCGTTGCTAAGGTTGTGGCTCACTTGGTGGGTTTCTTCTGGGTGTAGGTGCGGCTGGTGCTCTGCTGAGAAGGTGCTCACTATGCTTGATGTAGTGCCGTACGTGAAGTTAACAGAAATGCACCCTTTATAAGTATTTTCATGGCATCACAATTTCATACTGGTTTTTTGGAATGAGAAACGCTCTAGCAGTACCAAGCTTATGGTTAAGTCAGAAAAACAGGAGATGCAGAGATAACAAACGTAATAAGATAATACATATTATGAAATAGACTGGAAGGTAAAAGATAAGCACCGAAAGGTACTCCAAGTTGTTTCATTTTATTGAATCCTATAAACTATATTTTAAATGAGAGTGAGGAAGACTTGGATACCAGAGAAAATATTTGTAAGGAATGACTGGGGGGAGAAGACTGAGACTGCTTTCTGCAATGGAGGGATGTGCTGTTTGGGACATAAAGAACACATGCAACAAACCTTTCTAAAACCGAGTGAGCACCATAGTGGGAAGCTCGTCTGTCACGGTGGCCTCTACGCAGGAGGGTTGGGATCTAAGGCAACTCTTGCTTTTCAAAGGACCTATGTGCAGGCTGACAAAATGGGGTTTAGAATGAACATTAGGTGACAGACTGCTTCTCCCAAAATCTGCGGGGTTGCCTTTCTCCATAGGCGCTGCACTTGACTCATCTGAACTCCTCGTATGTGGACTGAGTTGAGCCTGACCTGTTTGGCTCTTCTCTGTTAAGTTAGTACACGGGACCTGCTCCACAAAAACTGTTGCTGTGTAGACAGTTTGCTAGAGTAGACTCTAGCTTTGGGATGTGTGCTTTTCTTCTATAAAAGAATAAGAAATATCAAATTTCTTTAGAGGCTGCAGGGTGAGTTTGAGGGAGGTGATAGTTGTGGAGAAAATGATTTACGATAACCTTTTCCTTTAGAAACTGTAGCTCATGATTTCCTTGTACGTTGTTAGGCATTGTGAGAAGTTGTGATTGAAAATTACAGTTCTAGGAGATAAGGATTCATTGATTCAGGATGCGTGATGTTCTGGTTTGTAGAAGTAGAATGCGTAGCAAAAATACTGGTTTTGGGAAAGGCTATGGTGGTAGTAAGTATAAATTTGCTTTATTTAGAGCAATGTATTGTTAGGAGTGACTATGTCTTTAACAATCCTACAGGCTGCCTGCACAGCCTAATTCCTTATGCTAGTTATGCTGCTGTTTGCAGTAACAAGAAAAAGGCAGGGATCATCTGAACCAGGTACCTAGGGAAATCAAATCACATGTGTATGCTTAAACAGTTCTGGATTTGGCAGTGTTAAGTGAGGGCAACGCATACTTGATCTTTGGGACAGGCTTGCTAGATGTAGTTATTCCTCTCTTATTATTCTTGAATGGCTTGCTGCTTGGGCTTATTCTTCACCAATTACTTCAGTTCATGCCCATATGCATGCTGCTTGCGCAGGCTCAGTGCCTTCATTGGAACTCAGGAGGCTGCACAGCTGGATCACATCAATAGAGGGTGTCTCTAGAGGGGAGGAGAGATTCTTAAGATCTGTACCTCTTAGGAGCTAGCATAATAATGTAAGATGGTTAGGAGTTCAGGATTTTCCCATTGAATGTTCGAACCTTCTTGTCTTATAGTCATACCCCTTCAGTACACTGCTCAGCTGTTTAATTTTATTTGTAATTATTAGCTTTCTGCAATAAGTGTCTACAGATTTATTTTCACTGTAGTATCTAGTTTATGTTACTCTACTCAAACTAGGTCACCTTGACTGAGGGTGGCTGCATTGCCTCGAGCACCCAGGCTTGATTAGTAATTCGTAAATAGTGTAAGTGTAAGCTGTAGCTGAACCCCAGCTATATTCAATGCTCAGTCTTTCAGCACCTTAAACCAAGCTCCTTTGTTGGCTTGATACATCTGCAGGAGTTGCATTTGGGCAGTGCTTCGGTTCATGGCATTGCACTCCTGTGCGCTTGAGGAGGGATGGGCATTTGAACTAAAACTGAGAACTGAATGCCTCCTTGCTCACGGAATCTGAATGTGACTACTAGGATCTTTCTATACTGTGATCTGTACAATGAATGCAGTGTATGTACTGTTTGAAAAAGAGAGAGGCAGTTAAGGCGGGTTGTATCAAATTTCTATGCTGGCAGGCAGAGTTTGGTTTAATGACTGTTACGTCAATATAAAACTATTGCGCTACTGTGCACATAGCTGAAGTCTTCATCTTACAAGAAATACTGGTGTTAGATTTAGCTTAATGAGAGCCTGAATTTCCTGAACGCTGAATATTTATATTCAACGTGCGATTTCTTTAATATTCATCAAACCAAATTCTCATCAGTCAAAGAAATCTTATCTTTGGATTCTTACGTTTGGGGTAAAGGATAAAGGGGGTGGGGTGGGCTTCGAGAGTATTTAGCCACAAATTTCACATTGAAGATTCACAATGCCCAACTTTTCCTGTCTGATACATAGATTAGAATGGTGTGGTATTTTTCCCACAAAAGAAACAAACAAACAAAAAACCTTTGTGAGATCATCAAAAAAACTCGGCAGTGTTAAGTTCCCTTTCTGCTAGGTTTTCTGTCAACGTGTAAGAAAACCTTACCTGAGTCCCAAGCAATTTATAGCATTGTCTGAAACTAGATGTTAGTTAACATGTAATTGCATTCCCTTTGTTAGACTTGGCAATGGTGGAATTTCCTGGTTGAGTGATAGGCTAGTCATCACTGATACAGCCTCCACTATTGTTGGAAAAGCCTAGGTTTTTGGAGCAAAGTTGAAAATAAATCATTGGTTGATCTTTAGCAGTTACAATTTAATGTGTAACTACCCTGTGCATAAGTGGACTTGCCAGTGCTGAAAAGTATCTGCTTGATTTTAAAAAGGCCGAGGTAGGGTTGTGGCTAGGGACCTAGATGACATTGCAGGAGCAAGGTCCGCCAGTGTTCTACTGTGTTGTGCTTGACATCCTTGTCCTGAAAATATTACTTGAATGCAGTGATGTTTTTAATTTTTTTCACCAGTTAAGAATTTTTTTAATGTAAACGGAGAAATGGGAAATGCTGCCTGAAGGAAACTTTCATGTGAAAAAAATCTTTGTTACTCAGTTTCTGCTAGAAGAGTAAGGAAGAAACTTTGCTAGAGGATTTGCTTTTAATAACGCTTCTGAAGAAGAATACAAGCTCTAAGAAAAACATAGCTTTTTTTTTTCTGTAGTGTACTTAATACACATTATAATGTATCCAGCAAGAAGAATGAGTAACAAATTGAAAAACAAGAAAGAGCAAAGAAAACTTTAAAATTATAAGTGATTTGCAGTGGTTTATTTGAAAAGTGCCTTGTATTTGGGGAGGAACAGCTGATAAGTATAGGTAGCTTATGGGAGGGAGCAAAGAAGAAACCGGTATCAAGTATGAGGAAGATGGAAAACATTAATAGTGACATTTTAAAGTGAGAAATACAAGGTTTAAGATTATTAAAAATGTTTTTAACATTATGGCTTATAAAAAAAATTACACAGACGTGAAAGATTACATATTGGGAGGGGTGGGGGAGAAAGAAATGCATTGTTGAATGATAGCGGTTCAAATTTGGCAGTTAAAATATTCATATGTATGAAAAATCTTGCTCATAACCCAGTTCAGCAGCACCTACTAGATTCGGAAAGGCCTATGCGCCCTCAGTACCATCTGGGATATTTATCATAGAATCGTAGAATGGTTTGGGTTGGAAGGGACCTTTCAAGATCATCTAGTTCCAACCCCCCTGCCATGGGCAGGGGCATCTTTCACCAGATCAGGTTGCTCAAAGCCCCGTCCAGCCTAACTGTGAACACTTACAATGATGGAGCTTCCACAACTTTCCTGGGCAACCCGCTCCAGTGTCTCGCTACCCTCATCGTAAAAAATTTCTTCCTTACCTCCAATCGAAACCTACCCTCTTTCAGTTTAAAACCATTGCCCCTTGTCCTGACACTACAGGCCCTGGTAAAAAGTCTCTCCCTGTTCATAGGAGAGGTGTTCCATCCCCCTGATCATTTTCGTGGCCCTCCTCTGGACCCGCTCCAACAAGTCTGTGTCTTTCTTCTGCTGAGGGCTCCAGAGCTGGACGCAGTACTCCAGGTGGGGTCTCACCAGAGCAGAGCAGAGGGGCAGAATCCCCTCCCTTGACCT